ATTTAAAAAAAATTATGACTGTGATTTTTAGATTTTTAATTTTTTTTTAAGTAACTGGGGTTTTAATATCGTAGTCTAAAGATTCTTACTATAGTATATTTGTAGTTAATATTAGAGAAAATGTACTTATTATCGAATTTGAAGTGGAAGATATTATAAGCTATGCTCGAGTAAATAATTATTTTTGTCATATTTATTTTAAAAACGAGTTACCTGTATACTTATATCCATTTGAATAAATTAATTTCTAAAGTGCTTAGGGACTTTTAACTAATTTTCAAATTAAAATAATATGAAAAATCGAACACTGATTTAAAAAATTGATATTTGTAATAGGAATCTGCACGTAGATTTGCAATGGTCGAGTGTGTAAGATGAGGATAACACTTGGAGGTGCGATGTCCTCTTAAAGTATAATTATTGTGACCTATGGGAACCATATAGATCATAGACATATAAATAAATGGACTGCGCTTTCCTCACCCCTCATCTATCAGAAACAGAAATGTACATTGAATGAGTAAGATGGATATAGTTGGTGGCAATCATAAAAGAAATAATAATTATATTTCATTCATGCCATGAAATTATTGTAATTTATAGATTATAAAACTGATAAGTTTCCTTCATGGTTTCCCCCAACTGCGTTTATCTCTCTCATTAATGTCGGTTTCATGATTTCTCTTTATAAGCGCAGTTCATATATTTGTATGCCTATGATATAAACTTAGAAATTCATCGCAGTGGTAACAGCATTTAGCCCGAAATTATTTATATGAAGGTTTAGCAATATTGTCTTCAATTTTAGAATATCAAAAAACACCAACTTTAATGGCTGCAAAACCCAACTTTGACAATTATAATTTGTTAGACCTCAAACTATTCGTGTACCTACAACCAAAGGCACAACAGCCGGGCGAATTCCAATCGTGCATCGTTTCCCCAAGACTTAAAGGGGGCTACCATCATAGGTAAACGATTAATAATCGATTCCAGGGTTTAAAAAAACTAATTGAATATTGATTTCTTTAATCCTTTTTCATTGGTTAATAGTACGGAAGACGAAATTATTATTAAAGCTTCGAATGATTTCTTCCATTTTTATAACGTCGATATTTGCTCAGATTTCACCAGACAACTTTTATGCATAAAAAATTGAATACATTTGAAAAAAAATTAAAAATATTGAACAACTAGCCATGTTTATTATTTAAAATGATTTTTGTACTACATATAGTGAAGTAAAGCAGGGACTAAAATTATGTGTAGTACGAAATACCGAGTGTGGAATACGAAATTAAAAAGCCTGTAATGGCCTGTAATAACTATGGTAGCTATTTTTTACACTTTTTTCTTCATTAATTGAAAAATTATTTCATGTTTCATTGGGAAATAGACATTTAAATATTAATAATTATTATTACGTATTATTAGGAGTCGGTTTTACAAGTTTTAATTATAGATACAGTATTTAAAATATTATAAAACAAAAATATTTCGAATAATCGATACAATTATACAAATAATTATTATCAAACAATAGTTACTGAATGTATTTACCTATGTTTTTTTTAAAGAACCATTAACATAGATACCTATGTTGTTTCAAATTAAAAACAAAATTATATTATTGTTAATGTTTGAAAACTATTTATGATACAATCATTTTTTTAATGATAAGTATTATTAAGCCTTGTATTTATTTATAATTAAATATTAACGATGTGGTAATTATATTAATTAGCTTTTAAAAAACATTTAATCAATCAATTTCATGTGATTGAGAGTACCTAATATTGTAGTCTGGAAAGTTTTTTCCTAGAATCGGAGATTTTTATTTCGAAATTCACTATATAAATAGGTATATAGATGACTACAATATAGTATAATATTATTATAGTTCTGTGCATTTATTGTAATATTATGTATAATACGCGTAATTAATAATCGTACCAATATACGGACATAAATCGTTTTATTGCGATGTAGTCTGCGACAAAGCCCCTCAAGGTAACTCCAAGTTTAAAATAAAATGTGTAGTACGAAAAAAATTATATTTTAGCCTCTGGTATTAAGTGCTTGTATTATATTATATCTCACTGCCAGTCACGGTTACATCAGCGGAGCTAACATTTTCGAAGCTTAAATTAATTAAGAATTATTTAAGAAATCCAATGGGGCAAAATCATTTGTCATCAAATATTGCTTTGTTAAACATCTAAAAACAACAAGCAAATATCCTAGATATGGACAAAATCAAAAATCAATTTGCTGAAGCCAAAGCAACAAAAGTTAATATACTAGTTAAGTAATTATATTTAAAATTTTAAATATTTTTTTTTTTTTTATTCTTTCTCAGTAACTTTTGTTATTATTTATTATTATTAAAATATAACCATAAATCATGCACACATCAATTATTTATTTCGCTGATAATAAATACAAAATGGGTCAGCATTAAAAAAAAAAATATATTACTTCACGTTTTTTTATATCCCGTCACACAATTAATGGATGTAAGAGACAGCTGTATTTTATTTTATATTATATACATACCACACATTTTGGCCGTTGTTGGATAGTAGCTTATAGACTCAACGGTACACGCCAGTACACCAGCCAACATGCCTATGACGCCGGCTACGCTAACGGTTGGCCAACCCCATTGACCTTTGAATTCCAACATACGTATACAAATTACAAATAACAGAGCGTGATGAATACAACCAATAACTTAGGTGAAACGTAGATTATGATAGGTACCTACGTTTCACACTTTCACCTAAGAACGATGTAAATATAATTGTTTTATAATTACCGGGGTACGGAACTCGGAACCACGACGAATCACCTATAATCCGGATCTTGACATCGGTTCTGGCCGGATGTCCGACTGGGAAGTAATCGTACATGGTGAGCAGTGCGCACAGAATCCACATAATCGTTATAGTTAGTAATACCTAGGACAAGAACATAAAATATAAATATCGATGTACCTATATTTATTATATAGATAACAAAATTTACATTTTCAATTTTTGTATTTTGGACATACATTTTTTATTTGGATCGTATCAGATTCAGAATTTTTTTAAATATTTTTAATTATTTATTTATCACTTTTTTTACAATTTTAATAATTTAATAAACCGATATTTTTACGAATTTTAATCATTCCAGCTTAACATTTGTGAGTTTTGGTAAGCTATGGATTTTTTGATTTTGTACTATAAAACTTCAAAGTGAAAAGGTATTACCAAACATAAGATAAGTAATTTATCGGTGTTAGGTGAAACACGTCCATTATTCATTAATAAAACACTGAATTTAAACAGTGACACAAATATCCTGATTCGAAACAAAAATGGGACGCAATTATTCACCTAACGCCATCAGAGAAGAATTTATAAAATTAAAGTCAGAAAATTGCAATGTTATTTTATTACTGGTCAGGTGGCACTGCTGGGAGCCTTCCTATTAATGTTATTATTTTACGTCAATTGTTCAACACACTTACTTATTATACCTTATTGTGTAGATTGTAAATATTCTTTTATAAAAAAAAAAAAAAAATTGATATTTATTGAACAATTTTTTAAACCAATAATTGAAGATTATTTAAAATATTATACAGTAAAACTTAAGACTTAGGACGCTTTCCCGCATAAGACGCTGTTTTCCATCGGGCCTTAAATATTCCCTATAATAGTCAATGTAAAAACCACCTGTTATTAGTGGCATACTCAGGGGTAGGGTTTTGACCACCTCTGAAATTTCTTCCTTATACAAAACATCTTATTTTCTAAAATTAAAACACAGAAAGACGATTAGATGTTGGTCATTTTTAATAGATATAATATAAATTGTTAAATATGACATAGACGTCGATCATAGTTTTTTAGCTGATTTGGAACAAAACGTCAGCCATAATCGTCGTATGCATCATCATGTATCATCCATCGATTATTACCACGTTTATTATGACCCGAAGAGGATCTATAGATGACTTGCAGGTTCCCAGGTTAAACACAGTGTTCTAATTGTAGACTACATTTTAGACCAAATATAATTTGTTATAACCAATTGTACATAAAAACTGTTAATAAAAAAATAATGTAAATTATTTACTCAGGTAAAACCCTAACTGAACTAAAAACCTGCGTACGCTACTGGCGCCTGTTAAGATGCTTAATGTTTCTCAATCTAATCAGATAATAGGCACGCTTTTATGTTTAATTTCTGTAATATTGTGAGGGGTGCATTACGATTGCGTATGATACGATTCCGTATGGACCTTTTTCATTATTACGATTGCGTACATTCTACCTACCAATAATTAGTGCAACGTTGCCGTTGTTTAAAATCGTGAACATTTATAATATAACTTATTTTAGGAAACGATTGCTTATATTTGATACAATTTCATAAACGTTACCGAGACTATTATTTCCAGGCCAATAGGTACTTTTTGGTAATCTATAAAATACTATGAGATAAGATTAAATGCCGATTATTATATTGGATTTCCTGGCACGTGTCTCACTATAACATCGTTATATTAGTATGCGACCAACTTGTCATTCGATAAGTCACTGGTTTTTGTTTTAGTATTAGTAAGTAATAGTGCGGTAACTATGGAGAATTCTATAAAAATTATAATGTCAGAACGTGGGAAAGAGTTAGTTGTGGTTTCTTCACATAAATATCGTTTTATAAGAAAACGCAAAGACGAATTATTAAAATGGATATGTTATAACAAAAGTTGTTATGCCAGTATTTTAACTGATGTCAAAAAAACTCAAGTTATTAAGGTAATCGGTGAACACAAACATGAAGCAATAACATCTCAAAATATTGACCGCCAAGTTCTCAGAGAAAATTGCAAACGAAAAGCCAGCGATTCAATTTCAACTCGACCAAGTAAAATTATACGAAAAGAATTACTGACAAATGTAGGTACAGATATTGTACATAAGGATATTTCTTCTGTCCGAAAAGCCATGTATATGGCAAGACGGAAAAACGTTCCTATATATCCAAAATCTTTTGATGAAGCCATAGATAAAATTTGGGAAATGCAAAACGATGATATTTTTAAATTTAATAATAAAAAATTTATCCACATTCCGATGAATAAATCGTTTATTTGTATCACGACTGAAGATAATTTGAATTTTATGAGTTCTTGCACAGAATATTTTTCAGATGGCACATTTCAATTCGCACCTAATTTTTTTATGCAAATGTATACTGTCCATTGTTTCAAAAATGGCTTTTATTTACCAGTTATTTTTATTTTTTTGAAAGATAAATTTAAGCAAACATATATCGAAATGTGGAAATTTATTAAAGAACTATATTTGCAACACACATCTCAAACCCTAAATTTATGCAAATTACACATCGACTTTGAAATAGGAGCACACGAAGCTGTGAGGGAAGTTTTTCCGAATGTACAACTTATTGGATGTCGTTTCCATTTAAGTCAATCTTGGTGGCGTTATGTAAGTATTTAATAAATAACTAACTCACATCGGTTAAATAAAATACTTTCATAGTAACAATTTTTATATAGATAAATGCAAATAAAAAATTGAGGACAGCATACTCGGATGATAAAAGTTTATTAGGAAAATGGTTAAAAATGTTTTTTGGTCTACCATTTCTGCCTTATCAAATAGTCGAAGACGGTTTTGTTGAATTAGTAGGTGATTGTCCGGATGAAGATGGCCTAGAATTTTCGGACTATGTGTTAAATAATTATATACAACCAAATTGTATATTTCCAACTAATATATGGGCTGAAGAACCTTCAATAAATAAAAGGTATCATATTTTTATAAATTATAAGAAAAATTTGGATTAAAATATTTGGATTAATTATTAATTCCGTAATTTTTACGTGTTTTAATGTCAGAACAACAAATGGTCCAGAGAGTTTCCACAGAACTTTTAACGCACAATTCTATAGCTCACATCCACCAATATACTTTGTGCTTGAGGCATTGAAAGAAATGCAGGCTGAAACCAATATAAAAATATCCACTATACAAAAAAATATATCCAAAGCTATTCCATCTAAAGATATGCAAAAAATGAACCATGTTATAAAACTATACGACCAATTTAAAATAGATGGTAATATATTAATTTTTTTATCAGGGACTGGTTATCGATACCAAGGTTTTAATTTATAACTTATAATTTGTATTTTGTATAATTTAAGTTTTTAGTTGACTATAAAAATGGTTTTTTAAATTATATTATTATTATTATTTTAAATTAAATTAATTTTTTTATCAGGAACTGGTTATTGATACCAACGTTTTAATTTATAGCTTATGTGTATTATTTTTATATTTTATATTGTTTTTAATTGACTATAATATTATAATTATGATTTTTTTAAATTATATTATTATTATTATTAATTCAATTTAATTTAATAGTACATGTTGGCAACGTTGCACTCATTTTCGTACGCAATCGTAATGTTTTTAAGGCCTAAGTAGAGAAATCGTACGCAATCGTAAAAACGTACGCAATCGTTTTACTAAAAGGGACAATCGTACGCAATCGTATATCACCGATTGTGAGATAATAAAATTATAAATGTTACTCGTTTACGTCTACTTATTGCTCTATTTTATCACACTATTCACACTACACTACCTATGTATTTTAAAGTGTATTCCATCTAATTATAAGGTTTAGTATAGACGTATAGTGCAGTTCGTTGGCACGTGTAAAGTCGTTTCGTGTTTTTATTTCGTTTTTCAATTTCTAGTGGTATATAACGTAAAGCGCTATCAATTTCGGATAAACTGAAATTTTTTTAAAAAATACGATGAAGGGTTTTGATTGACTGAAAAAAAACAAAATTATATCGCTAATGAACTGGAGATACCTTCTTTTCTCTTTCAGAACTTTTTAAGATTAATAAAAAGTTGGAAAATGTTTCATTGGAGTGGTTTTAACTATCAACAAGCTCGCAGTTTAAATTATCCAATAAATGGAGATGTTATCATAGAAAATACTATGGAGATTTCCGCCCGTCTCAACATCACCGAATTCAGTGGATTAAATGATCATCAATAATAAAAATTGATTTTAATTTTAAGACATTTCGTAAACATTTGATCTTAAAACACTTGTATAATATAAAAACTAATGTATATTCGATATTTTTCAATTGTGGTTACTTTCAGGAACTACTTTTGTTTAGAGAAAGAACCTTGTACAGAATATTTAAAGCTTACACGAACAAAAATGTTATCATAATATAACTAGGTACCTACATTAGTACATTAATTGAAAAAAAAATAAAAAAAATTTTTTAAAAACACACTTTTCTAAAAAAAACAACACAACAAAATAATGAACAATTTACTGATGAAAAATTTAAAAGTGTGTGGTGCATCACACAAAACATTTAAAGCCGAGCTAAGTCTCACATACACTCATAGGCGCAACTAGGGGGGTGCTTGGGGGTGCTTCAGCACCCCCAAACTTTAATTTAGCACCCCAGTTCAAAAACAGCAAAAATTGAAAAATCATATGAAAAAAATAGTTTTTTTAGCTTTACTTAAGGTTTTTTTTTTTATTTCTTCGTTTTTAGCAGAAACAAAAATTATTGTTTGTAATGATTATATAGGTATATCAAATATTAAAATTTAGAATTCTTCAATTTTTTTTGGACATTTTCAGTTAGAAATTTATAAAAGTTTTCCTTTCATAGCTAACATTATAAATGTTGATAGAAGACTCCTCACAATTGGTACTATCTTAAGCAAAAAAAAAAGTTTACTGGAAAGTAACATACATTTTTTATGAGCGTTTGAATCTAAAATGTGTACAACATTCAATTTTCAATTTTTATCAGTAAATTAACGACATTTCATCTATTAATTTTTGATATTTTGTTGTAATTTAAAAACGAATAATCCTAGATACTTGAAATTTTTATCAAATGTTAAAATTAAAATTTTCCTTACATGGTAAAATGTTTAAACAATTTTGACTCTTTTTGAGGTATTTATAACTGAGAAATTTTTCAAATATTTTTAATTATTTTTCAGTTAGCAATTCATAAAATATTTTCTTTTCACAGTTAAGGCCCAATATTAAAAATGTTAATAAAAGATTTCACATAAGTTTGTCTACCTATAAAAAAAACGTATACTTAAACTTGAATTTTTTATGAGTGTTCGAACTTATAATTGTCACGATATTCGATATTCAGCGGTAAATCGAATTCCCATTAATCGATTTTTTGGATTTTGTTGTATTTCCAAAATGAATAACTGTAGACTCTTGAAATGTTCACCAAATATTTATAATAGCATTTTCCATACATCGTAAATTCTTTAAACACTTTTGACTTTTTATGAAATATTTATAGCTATTTATGAGAAAAATTTTCAAATTGAATTCAAATATAACACATCCACTACAACGACATTCTCAACAACTATTGTACAGCAAAGCGGTACCCACTTGACCACATTTTTTTTTTATCTATTTACACTTCCAGGTTACTATTTTTATCACCTAAATAATATAATATACCTCATGTATTCATCAGGTATATTACTGTTGATTTACTTAAATATTAGTGTCCTTATGTGTTCATGGTGCATTTAGGAATGGTTATAGTAATTATAAAATGAAAGTATGTTATTTTGGGGTGTGGGGGCGTAGCCCCCGCGGGTTTGTGTTCTCTACATAATTTTAGCACCCCCAGTGTTTAGCCTCTAGTTGCGCCTATGCATACACTTCTATGTTCAATCCTGTTTATAAGATAGTGACTGGGAGTATATGTCAAGTGTAAGAGCACCACACACTTTTAAATTTTTCATTATTTTGTTGTATTTTTTTTTTAGAAAAGTGTGTTTTTAAAAAAAAAAATTTTATTTTTTCCACGGAGATGACTGCACACCCGTCATCGCCGACCTGGAGGTCCAAAAGTGCCTCAAATCGAGTGAGCAAGATCTGATTACAAACAGACAAATAGACGTGAAAGCGAACTTAAGAAAAGTGTGTAATAAAAATAATAATTAATTCGATTTTAATCACTTATCTTTTTTTTTTTGTCCCCGCGTAAAATGCACTAGAGAGCTGGTCTTAACCTAGAAGAGCGTCTTATACGAGTTTAACTGTAGTTAAATTATATTACAAAGCATTTTATGTCAGTGGAATTTACATAACCTATACGGCTATACGCCCTATACCTATTGGCTACACCTATCATCTGTTTTTGTTATAAAATGTATGGATTGCTTAATCAGTTTATAATTAGTAATTACATATCAGTGTTATTTACGAGTATGCTCAGATAAAACAGGTACCTACCGGAAACAGCTGGAATACGTTAAACTTGCTGATGGAAAATCCGTTGGTTTTGCTGTACGTCGGGACCGGGAACTTGACATTGGTCAGGAATTGCGAAAATAACGTCAGTAGTATGATCGTTCTGCAGACAAAAAATCGTAAATGTTTTATTATTTATGTATAATTTATGAGGCCAAAGAAAAGCGTAAACACAAGTTCAATATTTCTTTAAAATGATTTTCGTTTAAAGTACAATTGAGCACTGGGAAATTTAAATGTGCTGTCCATAAACCATAGATTTGTCAAAGGTGTACAGAAAGACCTCCAGGTGTAGTAAAAATTAAGAAAGATCAACACGGCGTTTCCACGAACAGCTCAATACCCAGGAAGTACAGGTTAGACCTAAAATACAAACAATTTATGTTTATAATATTTAAAATTCCGAAACTTTTCTTAATTATCTTTCCAATCATACTTTCGACGACTATCAATTCCACACCGATAAACAATTATCAGTAATTATCAGGAACCTCCCAGTCCCAATATTACAGAAGAAAACATCTTCAAAGAACTTACAGTTCTACAGTTCGAAATAGAATCAGTAACACGTCTCCAAAACCTTTTTAAAAACAAATAATAATTATTGTCGTTGTCCAACTAATAAAAAACCTTATCAGATATGTATTCTTTAAATAGACTATTACACTGCGTAGTGCGTAGTATCAATCCAACAAAGAAAACCCTAAAAAGTTATTCCTCAGTGTACACATTGTCAAAGATTTTTAGATACAAAAGAATTCTATCACTTACCGTCTAGGTGCGCCAAATGCGCCTCGACCATCACTATCTTCATGTCAAAACACTAAATAAATCCCTCCAAAATCATCAGTAATCATCCAGCTGGCTACAGAGGATGTTCATACTATAAAGAAATATCCAAAATCAAAAATAAAGTCGTCACATATCCTCATCACTAGAATAACTTTATTAACACAATTCCCAAGACAAATAATCAATATATACACGCTAATAAAGATAACAATAATAAGCCTTATGACTCTGTGTGTAATAATAATTCCAATACCAGGTCAAACGAACACCACAGATAGGTAATGATCTTAGTTTTATGAAAACACTCTTACCTACAGCTCTTATAAACACATTCTTAACTCAACTCATTCAGAAAATAACCAAATACCGCCAGTCATCATAAGTAGCTTGACCTTAGCTCTCATGGTTCCCCTTAATACTACAACTACCTTATTAAATTGGAACGCCAACGGTATCAAAAATCATAGAAACTTTATACTAGCTTTTCTCAACCACCGTTCATCGATATTGCTTGTGTAACAGAAACACACTAATCTAACACGGGCAAAATTTAATTCAACGGCTATAACATGTATCTTGCGGGCGGTAGTACACTGGCATGCTCCATGGGCGGTGTAGTAATACTGGTTCGTAACAAAATTAAACATCAACATATACAAATATCCAACCTTCAAAGCTTAAAAGCCACAGCAAAATACTGTTACATATTAATGAACGCTCTATCTTCAGTGCTAAACAACCTCCAAGTCACACAATGCACATCTCTGATAACGATTAAGTAATGAACCTAAATAAATCATTATGACGGGCTATTGAAATTCAAAATACTAATTGGGGATGTAGCGTCACTAATCCGAACGGTAATAAACTACAAAAGTACTTATCCGATTCTAATTGTATAATAAAGGTACCAAGTAGGTAAACCAACTTATTTTCCAAAGGACACTAATAGACTTCCTGACATTCTTGATATTTTGTTATTTAAATCAATTCAGTACAACATCGTACAGGAACTCTGACCATAATCCAGTCAAAG